TTTATTTCTATAAAAATAATAAAATTTTTACAAAATAATAACTACACAAATTTTGTCTAATCTAAAAGTCAAAAAAAATGTTGAAGAAATCGGAAATCAGTAATCAGAAATCATGATTACTTTTTTTTTATTGATCTTCGAAATTCACATAATTTTGCAAACCGCAATAATATCGCTCAACTTACTCAACAATGACCAATCAGAATCATCACATGATATACTTTTTTTAGGATAATGATTCGAATTATCTTTTCTCCAGTCCGAAATATATTTCGGATCTATCCGCCTAAAATTGACAGATTAGAGTGTCCGTATTTAATTTGAATTATCTGATCAATCTGAATTATTCGGATTGCAGATTGAAGCACTAGTTTTTTAGCCTACATTTTAATGAAAAAGACAAACCTACAAAAGAGAAGAAATTGTTAATTCCCTATTTAAAAAAAAAACCAACGTTGAATCTGATACTTATCATTAAATTTAGTTCTAACATTTCTTGTGATCTAAATCTTCATTTGTCAGACCGATAAAAGAGAAATATTAGCCCTTTTCGATAAAAAAAATTGAACACATAAAGAGGAAATGACAACTTCTTACATGATTCAAATCTCCATTCGCCAAGTTTTCAATTCGTAGGAACAGAACTCGAAGTTCCAACAACTTAACAATAAATAAAGAGTAGTCGTGTCTTCATACACGAACAACTCGAATACTTTATTGAATAAAACATACAAATAACCATTCCCTAACGAGTAATTGTGTCTTCATAACTCGAATAAAATAGTAGATCGGTTATCGTGTCTTCATACACGGATAACTTGAGTATAATAATAAACTTGTTATACGACTACTTGTATCTTCATATACATTTAGCCGTTTGCCTTCGTAACTGCAAATCACTTAATCCTCTTAAAGCGTAACCGCAATTAACCCTATACTTTACTTAAGCATAAATCGGCATTTGTTATTAATTCCCTAATATACCCGTCGCTATAGTAAGCCGTTATACCGAGGTAGTTTCGTGTAACAGTACCCTTATGTCAAGCAAAAATCGAAAAATCCTAAATAGACCAAATTTTACTATGCTAACCAAACATCTGGCTTCTAATTAAAAATGTTCAGCATATATCGGATTTATGTATAATACTTGAGATACTCCAACCTAAGTATTTGGATCGATTTTCGCTTGACATAAGGATATCTGTTACCCCCAGAAATGATCATTGTTGTTGGGTAGGGTCAAAAATAGCGTTAGGGTAAGGGTAGGGTTTTGGAAAAATATATACCAAAATATGCAAATAAACGATTTGTTTTTTTAAATATTACGTTACACGCATCTACATAATTGATGTTGATTGGCTGGATACCGGATTTTGGGCACATAGATGCCGGGGGAAATTTGATTGGTTGTGCATGAAAATGTATGTGGAAAGTATAATCTTGTCTGGTTCGCCAGATTAATAAAACTCTCTTCTTCGTTTAATCATGGTTTGCGTTGAATATTTATTTTCGTATATGATTCATTATATTGATTATCCAATAAGTATTTAATTCTTTCGCGGCTTTAAGTCTCTAGCACCTATACAGATCTTCCAGGATGAGGCAACAGAAGAACGCGCAGAAAACGCGCGTTTGGTATGTCATGATAAATTCCATTAAGGAAATTTTCAGATCTTTCTAAATTAAACAAATAATTTCGTTTAGTCTTCATTCGTTGGCGCCATTGCCGTTGGAGATTTGGTTAAGAGTACATTAGGGCCTAAGGGAATGGTATGAAGAATTCACCTGAAACAGGTTTGCGCTACAAGTTTTGATATTACTTTGATCCGACCAAATGAACTTTAATATTTTCTTGATAAATAGGATAAAATTCTTCAATCGACAAGCAAAGGTGACATTGTGGTTACAAATGATGGGGCTACAATTCTCAAAAGCATAGCCCTTGATAATGCAGCAGCTAAAGTTCTTGTCAGTATCCTTTTGGATTCAAAGTTTTCGTCTGTTGATTGCATAACGGATTTATTATCATCATAAAAGCATTAGATTTGTTAACACTATATAGTATGTTATCCTAAGTTGATCTCATTATCGCAGATATATCAAAGGTTCAGGATGATGAAGTTGGTGATGGAACAACGACTGTTTGTGTACTAGCAGCAGAATTATTACGCGAAGCTGAGAAACTTGTCAACCAGAAAATTCATCCTCAAACTGTTATTGATGGTTATCGTATTGCTAGTGCCGAAGCGTATAAAGCTTTGGAGGATTCTACTGTCGATAACGGGTGAGTTTTTTTAAATTACTATTTTATGTGTCGTCAACTTTTTTTAATTTTATTTTATTTTATTTTTTTTTATAGTGCTAATCCGGATGCATTCCGAAAGGATCTGATTAATATTGCCCGCACAACGTTGAGTTCAAAGGTTTTATCTCAAGATAAAAACTACTTTGCTAATCTCGCTGTTGACGCTGTATTAAGGCTAAAAGTATGTTACTTGTAATAAATTACTTATTACTTTAAATAATCTGAATTAATAAGCTGTCATGTATGTTTTACAGGGCAGCACGAATCTTGAACATATACAAATTATAAAGAAAGTCGGTGGTAGGCTAATCGATTCATATCTCGATGAAGGTAAGTATATATTATAATTCATATTTAACAAAATTGATATATCCGAGTTTATGTAACTAATTACGGTTTTAATTCATAGGTTTCATTTTAGACAAAAAGATTGGAGTTAATCAACCAAAAAGAATTGAAAATGCCAAAATATTGGTTGCTAATACACGTACATAAATTTATATTACTATTTTTTGCATTATTTATGATTGTGTGGTTTATTTATCAATGAAACCTATCATATTCAGCAATGGATACCGATAAAATTAAGATTTTTGGCGCTCGCGTTCGTGTAGATGCCACTGGTAAATTGGCTGAACTAGAAAGGGCAGAGCGAGTATGGATATCACATTTGAAAAATTATGGTATTAACTTGTATGGATGATATACATATTAATTATTATGCAATAAAAAAAAATAGGATAAAATGAAAGAGAAGGTTGAAAAAATAAAGTCTCATGGGATTAATTGTTTTGTTAACCGCCAACTGATCTATAATTGGCCAGAACAACTTTTTGCTGACTCTGGTATTATGTCGATCGAGCATGCTGACTTTGATGGTATTGAAAGGTTAGCACTAGTAACAGGTAATATTGCTTTGTTATATATGCGAATTTTATCTTTAGTTCATTTTAAGTTTAACTGATCTGTCAACATTATTTAGGTGGTGAAATTGCATCGACTTTCGACCACCCGGAACTCGTAAAATTGGGATATTGTGATCTTATTGAAGAGATTATGATTGGGGAAGACAAGGCATGTTATTTAGAATAATTGTCTTTTCACCTGCATAATTAATGTATCTGAATTGAGAAAAATATGTCTATCCAGTTAATTAAATTTTCTGGAGTTGCTGCTGGAGAAGCCTGTACTATTGTATTACGGGGAGCTACGAACCAATTATTAGACGAAGCAGAGAGATCTTTACACGATGCATTAAGTGTACTGACACAAACTGTAAAAGAAACACGTACAGTGCTCGGTGGTGGTTGTTCTGAAATGCTTATGTCTAAAGCGGTCGAAGAAAAAGCTAAGAAAACAGCTGGTAAGAAAGCTATTGCTGTGGAATCTTTCGCAAAGGCTTTGAGGCAGGTAAATGAACACTTGTCCTTGTTAAAAATTACAATGTTCAAGAAAGGAAAAAAATCAATCTCCTTTGCATGATTTATATTATAGATTCCCATCATTTTGGCTGATAATGCTGGTTATGACAGTGCAGATCTTGTTGCCAGATTGCGTGCAGCACATTATGAGGAAAAGTCTACATTTGGATTAGGTAAGCTTGAATATTTATTAATTTGACTTTTAAATTTGTATTAACGTTTTTTGCTTGGTAATTTTGGAAGATATGGCAAACAATACTATTGGAGATATGCGAGAAATTGGAATTACAGAATCATACAAACTTAAGCGCCAAATATTACTTAGTGCATCAGAAGCCGCAGAGATGATTTTACGTGTTGATGATATTATTCGATGTGCACCAAGGTTTGACTTATTTTATAATTAATTACATATGAGAAGTTGCATTTATTCAATTTGACACTCATCCATTATAAATTTTCATATTCTATACTAAAACAGAAAACGAGAACAACAATAAGGTTGCGACCAAAACTTTTTTGAATGACATTGTGTAGTTTAGGTTGGGATCAAATTTCTACTCCATTTGAGATAATTACCAAAACCAAAATATATGTCCCATTTTCGGTCAATAATGTCAAATTCAAAAAACCGGTCAAATTTATTAAATGCTATAAATTATTAAAATTTCGTTTCATTTTCAAATTAGGAACTGATTTAACGATTAAGCAGGATAAGTTAAATAAATTGGTATATTAGATCTAACGGTTATATTGGAAATGTACGCAATAAGTAATAACTATAAAAGTGAAAGTTTTTCACATCTAAATAAAACTTCGAATCATAAATAGTAATTTTTCGATAAATTTTTCGAAATTCGAAAAGTGCCTAACAGTTTTTAAAAAAGTAATTCCTTACCTTACTATTCGCTATTCATGACATTATAATTTTTCGCATGAACAAATTACAACCGGAATTGAAAAATTTTAACGATGGTGAGACAAGGTGTTTTTAAAATTACATTGGAGGATTTCTGATGATTATATGATGCAGACGGCCCTAAAGGCCATCTATATTGATGCAATTTTAAGCTTTTAGAAGATAAATCATACGTGCTAAAGGATAAAAATTTTTAATAAAAATTTTAATATTTTTTTAAAGTAAATGCTTTGCTACAATAGCTTTATTAATTTTAATTATTCTTAGCCCTGTGCATACACTTGACCCTCGTTAATATCAACCACATTAATATCAACCTAAACAATAACTGATAATGAATTACTATATATATATATTAAAATTATATTAAAATTATATTAACGTTAAAATTCCCTCAAATATATCAACTTTAATACGTATTACATGAATACGTCTACGTAAAAGTGATCCAAATGGGTTGATATTTAGCAAAGGCCAAGTGCATTATTACTTAATACGTATATCTGGATTTTAATACGTACGTATTTAATGGCATACGTATAAGATTATCTATGTATGAATAAAGTTAAAATATACTTTGGCAGTACCTGCCAGTCGTTATCACATTTTCATACAAATTAATTCTCGGCCACTTACGAAATTACCCGATATGTGTCACGGATTATTCCGAACAAACCAACACAAAATATAAAAAATGGCTATCTTGATGCACTAAGTAAAGATGTCAGGCTTTAAACGTCTCCAAAAAAAGGAAAGTTGCATTCGGAATTATTCGGGAGTCATCAATTGATTCTAAAAAAAAAAAAAGAAAAAAACTATATATATATATATATAGATATAACCATCAAAAAATCTGTTTGCTGCTTGCTTATTAGAACATGCCTTACGACGCCAGTGAGTTTTCAATCCATTATTTTCGAATAAATTAACACCGATCTATTAAAAAAAACAATTTAACACCGTTTTATTGATATTGGTTCATTAATTAGCTAAAGCTAATCCTACCAACGGTGCCAAACTGTAAGTCGACATTTTCGAATTTAGTTTTAATTTTGAATATTTTGAGTTTGAATTATTTAACTTTAATGTTTAGTTTCAAGACCCGTTGTGCCCAGTGCCACACGGTCGAAAAGGGTGGTAGCAATAAAGTTGGACCAAATCTCCATGGCCTTTTTGGCAGACAATCCGGCAAGGTTCCTGGATTTACCTATACCGCCGCAAACCAGAACAAAGGAGTAATCTGGGGTGAAGATACCTTGTTTGATTACCTCGAAAATCCCAAAAAGTAACTATAAATGTTGAAACTATTTGATTGCATGTATTATTCTCTTAATTAATGGTTTT